ATCTTTTTGTGAGGATCTACATTATATCTTTTCATCGTTTATTATGTGGTCAATTTTTGTTAGGTACTGTTAACGTTTACTTTTGAATAAAAAAAATTCATAATAATTTATGACCTCACAATGTACGATGAAATGATAGGATATGAAGATCCCTAAAATCCTCAGATGGGATCCAAATCCCATTAATTGATGCACACCACACGTCAAATTAAATAAATCTGTTTTTCATCTTCAAGACATTTTCATATAAAAATGCACAAGAGGCCGTAAATTATTAGTTAATTACAAATCAATTCATTTGTTGATTTTCGCACTCAAACTTATAAGGAATTGTCAATTTCTCCTAAAAAAAACTTGATTGTATCTGATTATTTCCTTGAATTTTTATAATTAGCCAATTTGCTCCCTAACATTAAAATTTTTCATCCAAATTTTCATTCTTTTTTATCACATGGATAACACATGGCAAATTTTTGAAGGCAATAAAGGAATTTTATCCTTATGCAAACATCAAATTGTTTTTTTTCTTCTTCTCTTCCCCTAGCTAACTTCGTATGTTTTATGTTTGAAGATTAGCCATGGGAGTCTAATTAGCAATTGCAAAGTATTGTCTCTGCCCCTAATTTATCAAAATAGAACTATCCTTTTGCCTTCATACAATTGTCATGTACTGTCCACATAACTAAAACGAATGGAAAATTGGATGAAAGAATTCAAAATCTAACGTAAGGGAGAAATTGACTATTTATAAAAGATTGGGGAGGAAATTAGTTAAAATTATAGTTTAAGGGAGAAATTGACAGCGCAATACAAGTTCAAGGACAAATTGATTGGAGAAATGCTACAGAGACTCTCTATGAATTTTCTGCCACATCATATTTTTCATAATATTAGCATGATAATTAACGTTATTGTGAGGTGACAAAAAGTCCTGGAAAATCACACTTTTGAGAAAATCCCTTTAGCATTTTTCAATTGACAAATTATCTAATTCTTTCAATGTTTGCCCATCTTGTTAATGTCACATCCCGGCTCGGGTCCACCACATCCTGAGCTCGTTCCACCACCGTAGCACGATATTATCCACTTTGGGCTTACCAAGCCCTCACGGTTTTGTTTTTGGGAACTCATGAGCAACTTCTCAGTGGGTCACCCATCTTGGGAGTGCTCTAGCCTCCTTCTCGCTTAACTTCGAAGTTCCTACGAAACCTGAAGTCAGTGAGCTCCTAAAAGGCCTCGTGCTAGGTAGGGATGGGAATATACATTTAAGGATCACTCCCTTAGGCGATGTGGGATGTTACAATCCACCCCCTTAGGGGCCCAATGTCCTCGTCGACACACTTCTGGCCAAGGATTGGCTCTAATACCATTTTGTCACATCCTGACCCGGGTCCACCACATCCCGGGCCCGTTCCACCACCATAGCACGATATTGTCCGCTTTGGGCTTACCATTCCCTCACGATTTTGTTTTTGGGAACTCACGAGCAACTTCCTAGTGGGTCACCCATCCTGGGAGTCCTAACTTAACTTCGGAGTTCCTACGACACCCGAAGCCAGTGAGCTCCCAAAAGGCCTCGTGCTAGGTAGAGATGAGAATATACATTTAAAGATCACTCGCCTGGGCGATGTAGGATGTTACAATCCACCCCCCTTAGGGGCTCGACGTCTTCGTCAACACACTTCAGGCTAGGGATTGACTCTAATACCATTTGTCACATCCCGGTCCTAGTCCACCACATCCTGGGCCCGTTCCACCACTATAGCACGATATTATCTACTTTGGGCTTACCATTGTAACGTCCCACATCGCCCAGGGGAGTGATCCTTAAATATATATTCTCATCGCTACTTAGCACAAGGCCTTTTAGGAGCTCACTAGCTTCAAGTTTCGTAGGAACTCCGAAGTTAAGCTAGAAGGAGGCCAGAGCACTCCTAGGATGGGTGACCCACTGGGAAGTTGCTCGTGAGTTCCCAAAAACAAAACCGTTAGGGAATGGTAAGCCCAAAGCGGACAATATCGTGCTACGGTGGTGGAACAGGCCCCGGAAATGGTCCGCCCCAGGTCGGGATGTGAAAAATGGTAAGCCCAAAACAGACAATATCGTACTACGGTGGTGGAATGGGCCCTGGAAGTGATGGACCCGGGCCGGGATGTATCGTAGCACAATATTGTCTATCCCGGCTCGGGTTCACCACTTCCCAGGCTCGTTCCACCACCATAGCACGATATTGTCCACTTTGGGCTTACCATTCCCTCATGGTTTTGTTTTTGGGAACTCACGAGCAACTTCCCAGTGGGTCACCCATCCTGGGAGTGCTCTGGCTTCCTTCTCGCTTATCTTCGGAGTTCCTATGAAACCCGAAGCCAGTGAGCTCCCAAAAGGCCTCGTGCTAGGTAGAGATAAGAATATACATATAATGCTTCCATGATCCACTTCCCTGGGCAATGTGGGATGTAACAGTTAAGCTAAGAGGCCATTAAATATAACATAATTGTTTTGAAATAGAAACTAGACATGAAGGACGTGTTTGTTTCACTGGATTATATTGGATTGAACTAAGTTCAAAGACTAAGCTGAATTGACTTGCCATGAACTAACTAGCATAAGAATAATGGGGCATTTGGTACAAGGTCAAATTAAATCGCAATACAATGTCAAATTAAATCATGGACTAAATTAATTTTGCGATCTAAATATTTATTTGTCATTTTTTTAGTTCTCTCCCCTTTCTTTTTCCTTTTCTTTTCTCTTTCTTTTCTTTCTAGATGCTTCTCCTTCCTTTATGTTCTTTACTTTTCTTTTTGTCTTCCTTTTCAAACTCAGGAAACGGGCACAACCCAATGAACCCTAACTAGATGAAACATTTGCCGATGGATGCAGGCGTTAGAGTTGCAGATGGTGTGGTCGAGCACGAACGCATTGATGAGAGTTGGCGTCGAGCTTTTGGTGAATGGCAATTTGGATTTGCTCACCCAGGGAGGCACTGTTGTTGAGCAGGACATGGAGATGGGAGAGAGAATGTAGTGGTTTGGTAGTGTGATTTCGCTAGATTGTGGACATAAAACATGCAACACGGGCAAGAGGGCAAGAGAGCAAACAAAGAGAAGGGAGGTCTTGGCGGTCCCATGGTTATGGTTTTTTTTGGGGGGAGGGGGTGCTTTTAAAAAAATTGTTTCTGCTGTGCTGTCAGAATAAACTCATTTTTGCTGCTTTACGTTTTTAGTTTTTTTTTTTTGCACCCAAAACTGTGAAAATAAGATGTTTTTAAGTGTTTACCAAACATTTTTTTGAACTCAGCTTTTTTAATACTCACTTTTTATAAAAGCATCTCAGTACCAAACCAGTACTTATTCTTATTAATCTTAATCTCAACACGGAACAAACAAAGAACTAGACCAATACCTAATGCAATCTAGTTCAATGATTATTAGTGAGGCTAAACAAACACACTTGAAATGCACTAAAAAAGTGATGGTTTCAACAAATAATAAAGTTATCATGCATAATTGTTACATTAATTTCTCTCTTGGCACTCTGAAAAATAAGGAAGCTAGATAAAAGGTACAGTCACAAAGAGCACATCCATGTTTTTTAGATGAATGAGTTCATTACGATGTTAAGTTTTCACCCATTCATTTCTAGTTTAAAAGATAATTACTAAACGGTGTCTTGAAACAAAAGTAATTCAAATATCAAAGTGTATTTTCCACAAAAATAGAATGAAGCGGATCTCTTCCACCAATGCCATATGATCAAGTGATCCGGACCTTTTGAAATTTCATCCAAAGATAAAAAATTATTATAATTTTTAAGAGATCAAAACAGATGGACTGTTGGATGAAATTTCAAAGGTCAAAATCATTTGATTCCGTGACCTTGATGAAAAAATCCGAAAATGACCTATTTCCAAAATAGAAAAAATCAAGTGTTATAAAAATGAAATGAGTTAAATGACTCCGTCAAGTCAAGCAACCGGCCCCCGTTACGAGCCGTGAGGGTCTGTCAGTTAGTCTTTTTTGGGACGAAAGGTCTGTCAGTTAGTCAGTCCGTCATAATTGAAACCATGCCTCATTAGGCATTTTTGTCGTCTTGTGATGACTCGGCAAGAAAGGGTAAAGGGAAAAGTCCATTTTCTCTTTTCTTAATTGCCCCTTTGACCCATTTCACCCCCTGACCAGTACTTCACATTTATAGTCCAATTATTACCAAGTTACCCCCACCATTTTTTACTTTTACCACTTCCATACCTTCATAAAAATACCTAATTCCCCTTTTCTTGTACAAGAAAGTTACTATTTCGTGTTTGATTTTAATCGTGATTTTTGTTTTACTTATTTAAAGGTTAGAAAGAAAAATAAGCGTGTGAAAAATATATCATGAATTATCTTCCATTGTTATTGTTGATTAAAATGGTTGAAGGACGGAACTTAAACTTTTACACGGAATGTGGCAATAACTGTTATACTAGAAGCAGCATAAGCTCTTAAAAAATAATTCCATTACTAACGTATTATTTGAAATTCAATGTAGATTAACTTTGATCAATAGATCTCGAGACAGAGTATACAAATCAATAAATTCGTAAGCGATAATTAACGCTCTTAATCACTATAAACGGCACACAATTCAATGTAAGTTGATTATCACCTAGATTGAGATTGAAAGGATTTTACTCCAAATAATTATCTCAGTTACTATTACATGCATTCTTCCAAAATTTTCCAAAAATAAACCAGAAAGTGGTCCAAAACCATTTTGATGCTGACGTGGCAACAGGAGGAGGAGGAAGGGATGTATGTAGTGGCAGATGCTGGTAAAATACGTACAAAAGCCATTTCTGTGGGCAAAAATACATCGTCGCATACAGACATAATTTTATTCTAGAGAGAGAAAGCGAGGTCAGAGAGCGAGAGAGAGAGAGAGAGAGAGAGAGAGAGAGACTGAGGAGTATTTCAGAAGCTCACTGCTACGCTGATTTTGAGGCACGAAATAGAGGAGAGAGAGAGAGAGAGATAGAGAGGAGTGGAAAACAAGTTTCACACACACATAGAAACACCGATTGTCAAAAACTTCATATATTTACTACATTTGGGCCTTCTTCTTCCATCTGAGCCATCATCTCGCTGAAATTTCCAGAGCTAGAGAGAGAAAGAACCCAGGTGGGGTTTTCCTCCTTTTAACTCATCGTTCATCTCAGTTACTCTTTTTCCTTGAATCCAATGCTGAGTTTAGTCCGTTTGTTCTATTAATTTTTTTATGGGTTTTGCGGATTGAGCAAAAAGATTCAAGCTTTTTGTCTTTCTTGGGGATTAATCGCCTTCTAATGCATGTTTGATCGGATTAAATGGGTTTTTTCTATCTGGGTTTTCTCTGTTGCAATTAATTAAGTTGATTTTAATTATTTGTTGGTAATGCATTAATGATTTTTCAGGGATTCAACCCCCTTTTCTCCCTACATTGAGTTTTTACCAAGAAAGTCATTTTTTCCTCTGCCTTGGATTTGATTAGATATTTCTCTGTCATTCCAGGCACCCTTAAATGCTCTCTAATAATCGACCCAATAAAGAAAAAGAAAATAAAAATCTTTATATTATTCATTTGGGTGATCCAAAACCACCACCGAAATATATCTTTCAACTGAAAGGCATCAAGTTCTTTGTGTATGTGTGAGGTCTATTGATTTTTGTGTATTTTCTCCTTTATTTCTGCAATGCAGCTCTTGGATTAAAGCAGATGATTAATGGGTTATTAGCTGTTGAATAATCTTTGATTAGTTAGCTTCTGAATATGGTAGAAATAATGTATTTATTGATTTGTAAAACTTTTTGGATTTTTTTTTGGTACAGAAAAGAGGGCTTTTGGTTTCCCAAAAGGGGGAAATTTGAGAGAATGCTGAGGAAGAGAAGCAGGTCAGTTCAGAAGGATCAGCACCAAATGGGTCGTCTGCCAATTTCTGATGCTGCTGCTGGGTCTGATGTTTTAGGGCACAACCCTAAAAGCAACTCTTTTTTCAGTGTTCCTGGTCTGTTTGTGGGGTTGAGTACTAAGGGTTTATCAGATTATGATGCAGTTAGGAGCCCAACTTCTCCTCTAGATTTTAGGGTCTTTTCCAATCTAGGTTACCCCTTTAGGTCCCCAAGGTCCAACCAGGATGGGGGGCAGCAGAGGAGCTGGGGTAGCAGTAAAGTAGGATTAAGCATCATAGATTCTATTGATGATGTGAAATTTTTCGGGAAAGTTCCTCAGTCATCTGAGAGTAAGAACATTCTTTTTGGACCCGGAATGAGGATTAATAAAATCCCAGAGCCTCAGTCCAATGCCAAGTGTTTTGATTATTCACCGAAATCTCTGCCCAAGAACTATGCAATCTCCCCTCATTCCAAAATCAAATCTCCTTCACAGAAGGGTAGTTCTGATGTTCTTTTTGAAATCGGAGAAGCCCCATCAGAACCTGAGTCATTCGGGAAAATCCGGTCCTGTTCATTAGATTCTGGTAGAGCATTTTCGACCCTATCAGGATTGAGCAACCTTAACCCCAACTCCACTTCTGGAGGTTTTTGCCCGGAAAATTTAACCACCCATCAATTTATTGGAGGAAGCCCCAATTTAGCCACCCAAATGAAAACTGGATCCATCGAGTCTAGCAATGGGTTTGTCGGGTCTCTTTCAGCAAGTGAGATTGAGCTTTCTGAGGATTATACTTGTGTAATCTCTCATGGTGCCAATCCCAAAAAAACTCACATCTTTGGTGACTGCATTTTGGAATGTCACTCTGAGGATGTGAACAATTTTGGTAAGAATGTGGAAAAGGAAATTGGATTTGCCCACCCGGGTTCGAGCTTGGAGAATTTTGGTCACTACCCTTCAGACAATTTCCTGAGCTTCTGTTACTATTGTAACAAGAAATTGGAAGAGGGCAAAGATATATACATATACAGGTACATTTACCGAAACAGACACATCTGCTAGCCTTCTTATGATATGCAAAAGCTTTTGCTAAATAGTTTTGGTTTTAGTATGATTATAATCATATGACTTCTTGCAGGGGTGAGAAAGCATTTTGCAGTTTGAGTTGCCGGTCGGAGGAAATTTTGATTGATGAGGAGTTGGAAAAATGCAATGACCAGTCTTCTGGGAAACCTCTCGAGTCGGATGAGGAACTTTTTGAAACTGGCTTGCTTGCCGATAAATAAGAGACGCCTCTCATCGTCAGCCACCATGCGTGTGATTGATGAGCCTCTCGCAGGCGCAGCTGATCATCCGTTTAGAAAGAGCTGTTTATGGGCATCGCCCGGCAGCCATGGATGATCGTTTTGTAAATTCACTCGTTTGCTAATCGTGCTTTCAGCTTTCACGGTCTTGGTGGATGATAGGATTCAAAATTAACTAGTTTTGCTTTCCATAAAACGAGACATTTGATGTATGCCATCAAAGTACTATATTTCCTTGTAATTCAAGTAAAAGGGCGATAGCCGCCTTTTTTGGCTCCCCATTTTTACTACTTCAGCCTTAAGTCTCTCTTGCCGCCGGAGTTGCTGTGTAATCTTGAACCAGTTTTTGACTGAATATATAAAAAGTAGTACTATTACATACAAGTCTTTCTCTTCATCTTCGAGTTTTGGACAAGTACTCCGGAGTATTGAATTACAGCCGTCGAATTGGATCAAACGGCTTTAAGTGGCGGAGTATTCAATACCTCGGAGCACTGTTGATTTTGAGCAAATTTTGATTGATCTTTAGAGAGGATGGATGTGAAAGTTTCTTGAGCATATAGATTGAAATTATGATATGAATTCACCAACAATCTTTACAAGTGCAGTTTCCGTCAACGAACCGATGGAATCTGTAGTTATCTCTGATTACAATCTCTCTGTTGTATGCCTGTGATATCAGTTTCATAGCTGAATGGCAATCTCTACATATCTGCAGATTATTCACTACTCGAATCGGAGTTCTGGGAGGGTTGCTTATAAGACCAAAAGCAACTGCCAGTCTTTCACTGTGGTAAGCTGAAGTTTCTTCCGGCTTCTGCTTTTGTAGTAAGCACTTTATCTCATCCCAGCATTGCATAAATCTCAGCAGATTGAGGGTCTGAAAAATCCCAAGCTGTAAATGCATGAACATTTCCATCCTGTTCTATCAGACTGCATCCTGGCTGCTTTCTCACTCCTAGTTCATGTAGCTTCTTTCTTGCCCAGCTCACGTCATCCAATCTTCCAGCTTTTTCATAAATGTTGGAAAGAAGAGCATAAGCAGAATCACTTTGAGGGTCTATTTCTATGAGCTGCTGAAATGCTTTTTCTGCAAGTGTTACGTTGCGATGGCTTCCACATGCTCTCAACAAGGAACTCCATATAGAGATATCTGGTTTAATGGGCATGTTTTCGATGAATTTTACTGCCTCGTCTAAGCACCCGACTCGACCTAGGAGATCAACCATACAACCATAGTGCTGGATCTTAGGAACAATGTTGTAGACATTACTCATCTTGTTGAAGTATCTGTATCCTTCATTGACTAAGCCTCCATGGCTACAAGCAGATAGAAGAGCTACGAAAGTGACGTGATCCGGCTTTATTGATAGGGCTTCCATTTTTGTGTAGAGATCAATAGCTTTCGTGGCTTGCCCTTCCATGGCATGTGCTGCTATCATAGCAGTCCACACAAACACATTTCTTTCAGTCATCTCTGAGAATATCTCGTAGGCTTTTTCGATGCTTCCGCACTTTCCATACATGTCGATCAGAGCAGTTCCCAACATGTTATCTACTTCAATGTGTTTCTTTTTTATGTAGACATGAACCCAAATGCCATGATTCAGGGCTGCAACACTGGCACATGAAGATAGTACACTGACTAACGTGACATTGTCGGGTTGTACATTTGAACTCTGCATCTTACGGAACAACCCAAACACTTCCCCGAATCGATGAGACATAGAATAGCAGTTGATCATGGTGTTCCACGAGACCACATCCTTCTCAGGGATCTCATTGAAGAAGAGTCTAGCCTTCCTAACATCTCCACTTCTGCAAAACGCATCCAACATCGAATTCCACGAAACGACACTCTTGCAAGGCAACTGCTCAAAAACTAAGCAAGCCTCTGACAGCCTTTCACATTTGGCATACAAATCTATCAGAGCATTCCCAAGAAATCCTTCAACATTCATTCCATATTTGACAACCAGACCGTGAATGGATCTGCCTAACCCAGAATCTCCCACGTGAACACATGCCGAAAGTACTGTGACCATAAGAACATCATCCGGGATCAAATCTGTTTCCCTCATTTGCCTAAACAACTCCAGACTTTCCTTATAGTAACCTCCTTGAACATAACCCGAAATCATCGTCATCCACGAAATCAAGTTCTTTTCTGCCATCTGATCGAACAGGAGTCTAGCAGCACATATTTCATTAGATTTCACATACCCACCAACCATAATAGTCCCCAAAACAACATCAATCTCAGAGCTTCCTCTACCAACAAGCTCAAGTGCCTTGTCCATTCTGCCACACTTGACATACATATCCACCATACAATTCATCAAATTCCCCCCAATTTCCAATCCATTCTCCTCAATATACCGGTGGAACTCCTCCCCCGTTTCCAAATCCCTCAGCTTTGCGCACGCCAAAACTAACCTAAGCATCGTAATCCCATCGGGTTTGACCCCATCAGCCTGCATTTCCTGAAACAAACTCAAAGCCTCATAACACATTCCCATGCGCACATTGCACGATATCATCGTATTCCAACTAACCACATCTCTCTCAGGAAATACCTCAAACAGCTGCCGCACTTCATCCAACTTCCCACATTTCGAGTACAATCCCATCAAATTCTTAACCAGGGACCTATTGTCCCCCAACCCATTTTTCAAAATCCGTCCATGGATCTCTGTCCCGTGTCGAAAGGCCAAAAGCCTCAAACAAGCATGAATCAAGAAGTGGAAAGTGGATGCATCCAAAGGCACTCCTTCACTGACCATATAACAGTAAGTTACAAGTACATCTCTAAAAGCTCCATTTCGGAGCTTGTTTTCCATAAGGGTGTTACAAATAACGGTCTCTGTCTCGTGGGTTTGGCTGAAAATTTGATGAGCATGATGAGAATGTTTGATGGTGATGAAGAACCAGAGAGCGTGGCTCGCGGTGAAGGGGTCACGGATGAGGTTTGTGGTGATTAATCGGGCGTGGATCGGTGCGAATTCTCTGAGGTTTGAGCAGGATCTCAACAAGGTGATGGCGCAGTTTGATCCTCGGGTGGTTTGATTAAAGACTTCATTTTTGGTTGTTTTTTGTGTGGAAGATAAGCTTGAGAGAAGAGCAGGAATGGCTACGGCCATCCTCGCATTTTTGGCCGTTACTTCCCTCCAAATTTCATTTTGTAGCATCTGTAGGTTTATAGATAAGATTTTTTTTCTTTCTTTTTCCTAATGCTTCTGTGAGTCTTCTCGGTTATTGGAATGAGTGAATAACTGTGACTTACCACCAGTTATCCCCCTTTAAAAAAAAATTATTGTTCATGGATTTGATGATTATGATTAGTTTAGGTCACAGATGCGATGATTATGATTAGTTCGTCAATTCATTTATTATTACTGTGTCGTGCAAGATATATAGATTATGTTGTCTGCATATATCATAACACATCAACTATTATTATTGTGCCGTGCAAGATATGTGAATTATGTTGCCCGCATATATCAAAACACGTCGACTAGTAACAAAATTTTCGGACAAAGTATACTTTTGTGACTTGTGAGTCATCAATTTGTAGAGGCATTGAGAATGTACGATTAAATTAGAGGGCAACTAATGTATGGTACAACATATTAACTCCAAATCCATGCGTCTCGAGAAGCAAGGCGGATGTACATTAGGATCAAAGTGGTCTGAGGACTAACCAGAATACGTATAAAAGTCTTTTAAGAACTTTCTAAATGTTTAGAAATGGTTTTTTTTTTTTTTTTATGTCCACCAAGTGTTTAATTAATGTGTACTAAGCAAATTTCGATAGGTTACGTTAACAACACTCAAAAAATCCTCTTATATCATTTATCAGATTGCTTAGATATGTCGATATCTATTGACATATAAGCAACATAGTTTGATTGATGGCAAGAAGACCACCACGTATTCAAAGAAATGTCTTGGGAATAAATTATTTTTTTAGCGTACTTCGCTCTGTTTCTAAAACCTTGAGACCCCAAGTTCGAGTCATGGTAGTATTACAGAAGTGCAACCTCCCTCCCCGCCCATTCTTTTTTTCGGGGCTTTCCCCATATGCACACTCCTCTCCTTTCGTCGAGTAACCAAATAAGCTAGCTTCGCCCCAAAACTAATAATGGAGAATGGTTATCCAACTGATTTACGACTTTACCAAAAATACTTGGCTGCTTAAGACCGGAATTTACCTAACGCTTAACAAGATTCGATTCGCTCTATAAAAAGACTAAAATGGCTGTACAGGGCAGACGAGGACGACACACAAAATCGAAACAGAGAAACGAGAAAAGAACATTCAGACGGTAACTTGAGAAACCATCACAGCTACTCTTGCGTTAATTACGAAGGAAAGCAACACATACAAAAACATGACAAGAAAATAGAATCAAATGAAACACGACGGTGCACCCCCGGCCAGAGCACTCCAACAGAAGACAACACGGAGGACCACAATTCCCTTCTTTCCACCACCGATATGGCCAGGGGGTTCAAAAGAGTCCGGAGCCTTTGTTGCGACTGCGAGTCTCGTGACACATCCGCAGCTGCACAAGGATAATCAATGCCAAAACCAATTTGATTGCAACCACATTGCCACCAGCTCAGCCTCTCGTTTGGCGAGTGTTGTAAGATTTACAGTTCAGACATTTCCGGGCTACAACATGGTACTGCACCTGTGAGCTTTTCCCGCAGTCGTTGCAGAGGATCGAAATCTGTCCGATAGGATCAAATAAGGAATTCTAACCACAATACTTACACACTAGGAAAACGTTGAGAGAGAGAGAGAGAGAGAGAGAGTACCAATCTGTTTTGATAGGGTTCAGGCATCGGTTGAGCTGCAATCTCTATGTCATATTTCTCCCATACCTTAGACATATCGCAAACTGACTTGGAGCAAAGAGGGCAAGCATATCTATCATCAAATATGAACAACCGGGTCAATTCGATACTTCTACTTATGATGCTCAATCAGGTAAATAAAAGGAATCAAAAGACGAAATCCGTCATATACTCACTGATAATGATCCCTCATCTCTTTTAAGCAATTCTTGTGAATTGTGTGCCCACATGGCATGACGGTAACATCATTTCTTGTTTCGAATAAGAACTGCAAAACACCAATGTATGTTCGCTAAGTCATCAACAATATAAAAAGGTCGTACCCAGTGCACAAGGCTCCCGCTTTACGCAGGGTCTGGGAGAGGTGAATGTCGGCTAGCCTTACCCCCATTTATGGAGAGGCTGCTCCCAAGTCTCGAACCCGAGACCTACCGCTCATGGGCGAAGTCATCAACAATATCAAAACATAATACTTTAGTATCCGTCATAACTCAAAAGCGGATAAAACCAAAACTCCAGTCTTACCTCAAAGCAAACAGGGCAGTCGTGATGCATTGCTCCCTCCACACAGGGGTGGCTGTTCTTCAACAGCACTGAGTAGCAGCAACCTGACAAGAAGGTTGGTTTACATCAGTAACGCGACCATAAGAAGGATGCTAAATCTCTTTGAAAATAACAGGCAGGCATTGCTTACCACACTTGTAGCAGTGAAAGAAATTCTCGCGCCCCCCAATTCTGTCACAGAAGAGCACCCGATTGAGTGAAACAGTAATTAAAAATTTCGGTAGCAGAACTACAAAGAAAATGGTGAAGGCAGACAAGAAAACGTGCATGAGTGAGTGTCGCAAGAACCGATGCCAATAAAAAGACCGTCACGTTCTGGTGCCAAAAATTAATACGGAAGTGAAACTTGCATAATAGGTAATGACAGTTCAGTCGCCAGGCTTTTCAAAAAGACAATTATAACAAGGATATGGAAATTCTACCTGCAAATCCCACAGCCATTGCAATGGTACTGTTTCTTAGATACCTGCAAACAAAACCAAAAAGGTTTATCCGCCTGCACGAGCTCGGCACTTAAATGCATCAATATTTCCCATGCCAGGCTTACACCACTATCCTAATCATATATAATCGAAAACGAAAACGAAAACATCTTTAGAGAAAGTGAGGCACTCACATCATCATCAAATAGCTTGCAAGTCTCACAGAAGTATTTCCCCATACATACACCACAGTTGACACAAATTTGTTGAACCTGGTAAAGAAGCAGCATACAAAAGACACTTGAGAAAAGTGCGAGCAAAATTCTCAACCCTAAAGCATCTTCTTTTCTGCTACACCAACTTAGTTTCACAATTGTAACTATCTTGATTAAGGACTTGACACAAATCCAAAAGCAATAAATCTGTCGATAACCCAAACTCACCTCTTGCTCAGTGTCGCAAAGTGAACATATCACCTGAAATATCATGAATATTTTGTCAGATTACGAGACAGAACAGTATAAGTTAGCCTATTAAGAAGCAAAGATAAGGAGATGCACTAACACATAAACGGATTTACCTGTTTCACTTGATGACGCGGCATGTCATGTCTATGCTTCTGATCAACACTAATATCATTCTGTACACCAACATGAAAAGTCAACGCAAATCGCCACAAGTGTTTATAATGGGTTACAATCTGAAACTGTTTAAAATCAAATACTCACCTTAGCTTCATTATGACAATGGCGACAATCAAAAATCTCATTGCAGCAAGGAGCTCTAATACTGCACCTTCGCCGATAGTGTGGACATCTGGAAAAATAAAACCATCATAAAGTTATCTTCGTGGCAACCAAATAAGAAAAGAAAATCAACAAAGAAATGAGTAAGAATAATTACCCATACTGCATGTATCCTTTCTCTAGCAATTCAGTGGCCTCCCCAGTAACCTTCGATTCAAGTTTGAGCTTATACTCGCCATTTGATAGATTACAGTGGGCATCCCCCATTATGTTCTGCCTAACCATTATATCTTGCATATCTCCAAACGGATATGGCAAAACTTAGAAGCTGGAAATAAGCCTAAAGCACCTGCACGTACAAAGTTTAGCATCACTTGTTAAACCTCAGAGGCATTTAGTCACCCGATCAAGGCACGCAAACACCGCATGCCACTGCTTTCTTCTATAATGCTGCAGGCATTTGAAATCAGCAACAACAAATCCAAGCAAGGTTGAACAGCTCCAATCAGCATTTCCCCAAGAGAAGGATTCATCAAAACAAGTAGATATATAAACAATAGCTACAATGCAGCGCTCGGGAACTCCAGAGATTCCATCTTTGGAAAATAAGAAATAACAATGCATCACTTGATTCCTTGAAGAAGTCTCATAACCAAATCCAACTAGACTGGGCATGACGACTTGACGCCCCAACCTATGGTACAAACAATAGATCACACAATCAAATGCGTTTTAAAAAGTTGTAAAAAATAGGGAAAGAACGCTAGAGATGGAAAAATGTGTTTTGTTGATTGTCCATAGAGGACAGGCCTACCTCAATTGGAATTCCGCACCATCTCTGCTTCGAGTACTGAACTCACCCAACAGGCAAAATTTTAAAGCACTATACCATCAGACTTTGAGTGGCTCTGCTCGAACCTTATAAGTTCTCTCATTATCAACATCGTGAACTACAAAAATAATCACAACTTTATCTCTTGACTTCCCTGATAGAAGATAACCCGCCTTCACAGCCTCACGAATAATACCCCCTAACCAAAAGAATGGGTGCCAAACCCGTCTCACTACCATAGTTGCAAATTGATAGGTTTTGAAAGACTAATGACCAGAGTATGAGCATTGAGACTCATAATACCAAGAGGGAATCAATGCTCGACTAGCACTAGTTTGGGGGGATGGATGAAGGCAACCCAGAAAACCATGCCACACCAGGAATTTCAGATACAAGGCAAACTCACAATGCTGTGACAACAAAGAAGTGGCGACAAGACCAAACTTGTAATATAAGAAGCCACATTGGGATAGAGCTTTGAAGACCCAGTTTTTACTTTTTAAGACATTCAAACCCCTCAATCAGAACCATGATAAACAAGCATATACGCTCTGCACTTGGCGATTTCACCTCTAGAACGGATACAACAGCCCTGCAGATACTGCCGTAGAAAAACCGTCAAATACTACATCATACTCACTCACGGAACGCTCACTGTGTCCATACTCGAAATTCGCTCATTCTCCACTTCTTCAGTAACGCTCACGTTTCAACAAATAAACCAAATTCGGAAACTACAACAGCATGTCTTCACCATACGAAAATTTCAAGCAGGGCTAAACATTTCTCTCGAAAATTAGCAAACCAAACATAATCATTATCGTGCCACTTAGTACTATCGTGCCACTTAGTACTACGGTATAGTGATATTCCTTCTCCCTTGTAAGTTAGAGGTCTTAGTTCGATTCTCACCGAAGACGAATATTTTTTTTTTTTTTAATGCAACGATGGATGATTTTCATTAAACAAAGGTCGTTACAGATGGTACACTAAGGCAGAGAATCTTCAAGGAGGATATCCAAAATTATGGTCGATGGATAGTCCAACCAAATACATTCATGGGAAACTGTAAGACCAAATCTAGCTAGACGATGGGCAACCGCGTTATTGCTAGCCCATGCTATGTCACATCATTGCTAGCTCATCCTGAGGCTAAACCTACCCCTCCTCTTAATTTAGATAATATCGTTTGTTCAAAAAAAATAAAAAACATAATCATTATCGTCATTAGCAACAACCTCCACCAAATTACATCACACTCAATCAGCTAAAATTATCACAAAATTAAATACTACAGCGGGTCTAATCCAATCAACAATTCACCAAATCAAATAAACCACAGACCACGCAATGCACCACAAATTCACACAATTCATTGCACGTTACCATGAAATCAAAAGTTTCAGAATTCACGCAATAACACACCAAACAGACCTAAAGGTTAAACAGAATCACAAAAACAACACAAATTTCAGCAATTTCAGAACCAAATTCCCTACAATTGTAATCAATCAACGAAGAAACCAAATCCAATTCAAAACAAATTACGCAATTATACGAACTTCTTAAAGAATAACGAACTTTCAATCTGCTGCGACACAAAAGCGGTGCAGTTGCCGATTCTGATAACAAACGGCGATGGGGATCCGATTCGATATCCGGAGCTCCGACTGAAACTAACAGAGAAAGTCGTAGAGAGAGAAACGCCGGGATACTGACGGAGAGAGAGAAAGCAATGCGGAATGATGAGAGAGAATTCGAACGCGATTGCTATTTATAGCATTTGCGAAGATAGGATCGCTTCGCGAGCCTCCGAAATTGGCCCGAAATGGAAAGCGTGGGGACCACTGGTGACAGCTCTCAGCAATAAATTGTCTGAAAATATCTCCGCTTTTTCCATATTTAATAATAACGTACTCATTCCTATGTATCATCACCCACTGTATTATCCTGCATATGCGAATCGAACAGTCCTCATACCATAACTTTGCATCCAACAGTCATAAAGAGAGGGATCGCAGTAGTTACAGTGAAGACGACTGCAGAATATCATTATCCTTTGAAAGTCGGTGATTTATGTGATCCAAGCGTACAAGAAACGTGATGGCGATCCAGCTTGCAATTTGGATTTGCGTTGACAACACGTGTTACCAAATTTGGTCAAGGTGCTTGACTGCTTGCCCCGTGTGCAGACGAATTAAGTGTGGATGATTTTGGTGGTATCAAATAGATATCTAATTAATTCGTCATGATTATATTGTTGTTATTAGCTGGGTACGTTAATTTTACTTTACAGTAACGTTAAGGACACATCGTATAATCAACATCTCATTAAATATATCATTAAAGACTAAGTACTTAAAGCTCCTCAAATTTTTTGTGTCATTTTAAATTGATCTCAATATTTTTTAACATTCTAAACAAGTACCTAACGTATTAGAAATGTCACATCTATTAAGCCCAGTTAAAAATTCGTTAAATGAACTAGGACTTACTTTGTCTCTACAATCAATAGAAGGCCATGGAAGCATATAGCATTCAGCAACTAACAATCATCACCCCCCCATTAGGCCATTATCTCCAAACACAACGCAGCTCCACCTTACAACTCAAGCCACCTTACATCTTAACCGTTCATCGTAAATTGTGCGGTCAAAAATTATTTTGAATTTGTTTATTTAAAATTAAATACAAATAGTACCTAACAAAAATTGATCGCACGATATACGATAAATTACTAAGATGTGAGGATTCTTAAGATCCAAAAAAAAGGATCCGTAAAGGATCCTCATCGTTTAAAACACTTTTAACTTTTTTTAGAAGCGGCTTGATTGGATAGCTGTATTGATCTTTGCATTTTGCAATGCATGAATCCTTCAATTCCCACTTTTCATTTTGTAACGCTGAAACTTATATATGTGTGCGTGGATGATTGATAACTAAATGTATATAAGTTAGACATGCATAACCAAACTATTAATGTTGTTACATTCATGCATCTACAATGGCGCATGTAGATTATCAACCATTAATGTATACATAAAATCTTACCGACGTAATCGAGTATCTTTGAGACTCATTTGCACGTACAGTTGAAAGTTGCGTCTGAATGTGATGCAAGCGTCAACTGTTAAGTATCTAGGTCTAATACGCGTTATCTAGGTTGAAACACTGTCATCGCCCGCTGTATTATCCTGCACATGCGATTCGAACAGTCCTCGTATCATAACTTTACATCCAACAGTCATAAAGAGAGGGATCGCAGTAGTTATAGTGAAGACGACTGCAGTATATCATTATCCTTTAAAAGTCAGTGATTTATGTGATCCAAGCGTACAAGCCACGTGATGGGGATCCAGCTTGCAATTTGGATTTGGGTTGACAACACGTGTTACTAAATTTGGTCAAGGTGCTTAACTGCTTGCCCCGTGTGCAGACGAATTAAGTGACTTGACGTGGATGATTTTGGTGGTATCAAATAGATATCTAATTAATTAGTCATGATTATATTGTTGTTATATAGCTGGGTAATCCATGTATAACGGTTACGTTAATTTTACTTTAGAGTAACGTTAAGGACACATCGTATTATCAACATCTCATTACCCTTAAATATATTATTAAAGATTAAGTACTTAAAGCTTCTCAAATTTTTTGTGTCATTTTAAATTGATCTCAATATTTTTTAACATTCTAAACAAGTACCTAACGTATTAGAAATGTCACATCTATTAAGCCCAGTTAAAAATTCGTTAAATGAACTAGGACTTACTTTGTCTCTACAATCAATAGAAGGTCATGGAAGCATATAGCATTCACCAACTAACAATCATCACCCCCCCATTAGGCCATTATCTCCAAACACAACGCAGCTCCACCTTACAACTCAAGCCGCCAACATCGAAAAGAAGGTCATGAAGGTTGCTAAACTGGTGTCGACTACCATGATGCGGCCACCACCATCTTCATTGCTCACAAACAAGAACTAAAAGTTTTATGAGCCGAGTTCCGACGAATGAGGAAATTACATGAGGAAAAACAAACTCATTGAAATCCTATCTGAATTCTTAACTCCCTTCTTTGTTAGGAGATAGCTCTCCTGATGTAATTTCAATGTGGGTCCATTTTCAATTCAATTCAATACATGTTTGATCATTGAGTTGTATAATTTATAATCTATGTTTGAAATTTAGATTTTTGAGGCAACTAATATTAATGTTGATCATGATATACCCAATTGGTGGGTTTTGAATATAATGTATGTTTGGAAAATTAACCAGGGCTTAACAGATGCGACATTCAATAGGTTAGGTATTTGTTCAGAATGTTTGAAAATGTTGAGACCAATTTAAAATGAGATTAAAAAGTTGAGGGTAAACTAATGTGATATTCCTGACATTTTCTTTTTCTAATTGATGTCTTAATTTCTCTCAAATTTCATGTTTTACTTATGAGCATTTTTTTTCATTTTTTAATACGATGATGTTTATCCATTCTTTGTCTTGAATCTTGATAACCTTTTTGGTTTGTATGGCTCAACGTTCTGTCCTTTCACTATCTCGATAATGATCTGATTAATTTGTTTTTGTATGACTCTGTTCCCACAATGTGCTCCTAGCTTATGTATATTCCTGACGTTCTATCCATGATAATGCGCTCCTAGCTTGCAGAACTACAAACCGGAGAACAAAAAACATACGCCCTTTCGATAAATCTTAAAAACGATAAGATTTGAATTAAAGACCCTACTTTCGCAGATGTCGCGTCTTATAATGTAAAGTGCTTATGCCAATTACAATCATTGAGATAGAAGGCTATAAATGTGCCCTGTTATCTTGAACACACAGTAGACACTAGGCAGGCACCGATGACCAAGGAAAGGGATCCGGACCGATGAACAGGCAAAGGATTCGGAGAGAATTCATTCCTTCTAATCCACCAAATCAAATGATTTGTATTGTTGAAATTTAATCAAATGACTACAAACAGGGGGGGTCCACTTTAAAAGTTATAATAACTTCAATCGTTAGATCAATTTTCAACAGCACAAATTCCCTGATTTGATGGATTAAGAGGAAGGGATCCGAAGAAGATCTTTTTCCCAATGACACTAGATCGTTGTCATGGAAAAAGTGAAAAACTCTGCCCTTCTTCACAATCACATGCTGCCTATCCCGTTTCCTTTGTTTCTTACTGTTGTCCCCTTCTTACTGTTGTCTCAAACGAGAAAGTTTTGTATGTCGAGAATACAATTTGGTACACCTTGTTGAGAGTGTTTGATTCAACCAACTTGACAAACGGCCACACGCACTCCACGTCACCCAATTGTTGTCCATGTGTAGGCTTGAAAATCCGCCACATGTGCGGGGGCGTGTTGAGAGTTGTCCCACATTGATGAGGGACAATGTTTGCTATGTGCTTTATGATATTGAGTTACTTCTCATATTGCCAATTGGTTTTATGGTGAAATCTCAATTTCATCACACCTGTAATATTTTAAGTAGGAACTTTTTTTATGTATCTATAACTTGTATTATGACACTTTTTTTTTCTCGAAGTATTATGACACTTAATGTATTAAGCCGTGTTCTTAACACAATGAGAAATCTCTTTTAGAAAACCTAAAGAGTTAAAGAGGATGACATAGCGACTGTGACAAACGTTCGTAGTTGAACCAACTTTCTCGCCCTCGATATGTTAACGCTTCATTAGAAGTGTTTTTATTCAAAACACGTTTGACATTTTATTTATAAAAAAAACATTTAAAGTACTTTTTGAAAAAGCACGTCCGAATGCTTTTCTAAATGTACTTCTATGACTTTAGAAATGGATTTGGATCCCATCCGGATCTAAATTGTGGGGATCCTACGGACCCTTACATCTTAACTGTTCATCGTAAATTGTGCGATAAAAAATCATTTTGAATTTTTTTATTTAAAATTAAATACAAATAGTACCTAACAAAAATTGATCGCACGATGTACGATGAACTACTATGATGTGAGGATTCTTAGGATCCCCAAAAAGAAGATCCGGAAAGGATCCTCATCGTTTAAAACACTTTTAACCTTTTTCAGAAGCAGCTTGATTGGATAGCTGTATTGATCTCATTTTGCAATGCATGAATCCTTCAATTCCCACTTTTCACTTTTGTAACGCTGAAGCTTATATATGTGCGCGTGGATGATTGTTAGCTAAATGTACATAAGTTTGACATGCATAATCAAACTATTAATGTTGTTACACTCATGCAACTACAATGGCATGTAGATTGTCAACCATTAATGTATATATAAAATCTTACCGACGTAATCGAGTATCTTCGAGACTCATTTGCACGTACAGTTGAAAGTTGCGTCTGAATGTGATGCAAGTGTCAACTGTTAAGTATCTAGGTCTAATTATCTAGGTTGAAACACGCGTTATCTAGGTCGAAACACGCGTTAAAAGGTTCATGAGACTCGTACGCATCAACGGTTAAAAGTTATCTACGATCATAAACAACCGTCATTAGCTGAGCTCAAACTCTTAATTATGTTTCCTCACTATAAATCCTCCCAAAATTATCGTATCTTTACAACACACACCCAGCTTAGCCCCCCCCCCCTAAAGTGGTGTCAAAAACTTGATCAAGTCCAAGATGAGCGTTAAAATGGGAAACCACCCCAAATTAACGGTGTCTATGTTTGGACTGATCCAGTTTCACACAGATGTAATAAACACATGCGCTCATCACTTCCAGTAAATCTAGTTTTTTTACCCCTAACTGCCGCTCCTCGTACACTTGGAGTACAGTGAAAACCGAAGATTTACCTAATCAGTGGCACTGAGCTTTTTTTACTCACCCTGGAGAATTTGATCAGTTTTCCACCTCCAAACCCCTCTCTTCTTCTCTGATACCTGCTGAGAAAGCTAGCCCAGAGAAATTGAACCCATTAGATGTGATCTCTTTGCATGTGATGAAGAGAAGAAACATTCACATTTTTGTACTCTCCATTTTCCTCATACCGATCTTATTCCTCGGTGCTGCTGCTGGCGAAGAGCTTCAGATTTCGCACAATGCTGGCCTGAGAGACTCGTTGCGGACGTCACATTACAAGCAAAGACAGCTCTTGTCTTACATTGACCAAGATGGGTCACGAGGTGAGACTGTGACAGTCCCAGACTCCCTTGTTTTTGAAAACTCAAGACTCAGAAGTGCCTACATTGCCCTCCAAGCATGGAAGCAAGCCATGGTCTCGGATCCTCGGGATCAAATATCCAACTGGGTTGGATCCGATGTGTGCAAATACACTGGAGTCTTCTGCGCCCAAGCCCCAGACGACCCGTCGGTCCAAACGGTTGCCGGCATTGATCTAAACCATGCTGACATTGCAGGGTTTCTCCCGGAAGAGCTTGGTCTTCTCTCGGATATTGCATTGTTTCACATCAACTCAAATCGTTTCTGTGGCAAAGTCCCAAAGAGTTTCAACAAGTTGCAGCTGCTTTTCGAGCTTGATCTAAGCAACAACCGCTTTGCTGGGGGATTTCCTGATGTTGTTCTTCAGCTGCCAGCACTAAAATTTCTGGACCTGCGATTCAATGAGTTTGAAGGTGAAGTCCCCAAGGAACTGTTTGATAAGGACCTTGATGCAATCTTCATCAACCACAACAGATTTTCCTTTGAATTGCCAAATAATTTTGGGAACTCGCCGGTCTCAGTCATTGTTCTTGCTAACAATAACTTCCATGGATGTGTACCGGCCAGCCTCGGCAACATGTCCAAGAATTTAAATGAATTGGTGCTCACTAACAATGGGTTCCACTCGTGTTTGCCAAGGGAGATAGGGATGCTAAAGAAAGTGACAGTGTTTGATGTGAGCCATAATCGGTTTGTGGGAGAGTTGCCGAAGGAAATAGTTGAAATGGAAAGCTTGGAGCAGCTGAATGTGGCTCATAACATGCTCAGAGGGACTATACCAGAAGGTGTTTGTGAACTTCAGAATCTGGCAAAATTTAGCATTGAGCACAACTTTTTCACTGTCGAGCCACCAATGTGTTTGAAGTTGAAGGAGTTTGACGACAGCAAGAATTGCTTGCGGAAAAGGCCAAAGCAGAGAACCTTGTTGCAATGCAAATTGGCTTTGTCTAAGAAAGTTGATTGTAGTTCTTTTGGATGCTATCCTTTTGTTCCTCCTTCACCACCATCACCACCACTGCCTCCACCATCACCATCACCGCCTACACCATCACCACCACCGCATCCTCCATCACCACCACTGCCTCGACCATTTCCATCATCGCCTCCACCATCTCCATCGCCTCCACCTCCACCATCACCTTTGCCTCGACCATCACCACCATTGCATCCACCACCGCCTCCACCATCTCCACCACCGCCTTCGCCATCACCTCCACCTCCATCACCATCACCGCCTCCACCACCACCACCACCGCCTTCACCATCACCACCACCGCCTTCACCATCACCACCACCACATCCACCATCACCTCTGCCTCCATCACCATCACCGCCTCCACCATCACCACCACCACATCCACCATCACCGCCACCACCTTTGCCATCACCTCTACCTCCATCACCATCACCGCCTCCACGATCACCATCACCGCCTCCACCATCACCACCACCGCATCCTCCGCCATCTCCATCGCTTCCTCCACCATCTCCATTGCCTCCCCCACCATCTCCACCACTTTCACCACCATTAACATCACCTCCGCCTCCATCACCATCACCACCACTGCATCCACCATCACCACCACTGCCTCCGCCATCTCCATCACTTCAGCCACCATCACCACCACAGCCTCATCCTCCTCTTCCTCCACCTCCACCATCCTCACCTCCTTGCCTTCCCTCACCACCACCCCCTCCACCATGCCCTCATCAGAATTCACCACCACCTCCACTACCTTCTCCCCCACCACCTCTACATTCTCCCCCACCAACACCAAATTCTCATCCTTTGCCGCCTTCACCACTTCCTTCACCTCCATCGCCACCACCATGTGTGCTAACTTCTCCGCCGCCTCCATCCCCACCACCATGTGTGTCATCTTCTCCGCCTTCGCCTTCACCTTCACCTTCACCACCAACTCCAGTAAATGATGGCCTGTTAAATTGAAGAACCCACCTACCCTTCACCTCCACCACCACCATATTATTAGTGATTCCTTCCGTTTCTTCTCTACCTTCCAGACAGCTTTGAGACCAATACACTAAACTCCCACAACTCTGAAAAGCATTTCAACTTTTGAAATAATTGCCAAGTCTTTATCTCTACCACTGCAACCAAAGAACACAAAAGAATGCCATCAACTATCAAGTTACATGGTGAAGGTGAACACAAGAAGAACAAGGAGACAATGCACACGGAGGGTTATTCTTTTTTCTTCTTATTTTATCTTTTCAAGTTGTTATGGATTGTTTTTTTTTAAGTAGATAATAAGTTGGAAGATGTAGTACTAGGCTACTTGGAATGTAATTACAAAGATCTCTAGATTCATAATTCCGTTATATTAAGAGCTTTCTTTTACTTATATTTCGATCTAAATGTATTATGCAATGATGGATATTGGATTGAAAATGCTTACAAATCTTTAGGAAAAGTTAGGTCTCAATATTACCTTCTCCATTGATCTGCTTCAATATCCATGAATCAGAACAAGCAACCATAGAATCTTTGTTCCATCTTCGCTGCAGGCAGAAGAAAGTCACCAATCTTCATTTCATTTAAGAAAGGAAAAATAGAACGGATAATCTAAATAACAATTGAAAAATCAAACTCTAGTGAGAAAGGCTCAATACTTGAAAGCTAAATTTAAAACTGATAGCAGAAATGAGAAGCACGAATGCCAAAGAATTTCAAAGCTCACTGAGGCAAAAAGCGTGAATTGTACTTTGAGTCTTACCAATAGCCGTATCGAAGACCATTACTTCAAAGCATCATGTATGTGAGCATCTCCATTTTGATGGCCTAATCAATCAAGATGAGGAAAAAGTACATTGTCTGTTACATGTGAATTAATCTCTGAAGTTAAAGGCTGGAGCAAACCACTATTAGACAATACTTCCAAGGCTTTAATGTCCTGTTGCAAACGGGTCGCATGTAAAATGGCATGATCAAGAACTAGAGGATCATCTGGGATATTTTGAAGAAGAGTAAGCAAGGTCTGCCGATAAACTTGAGCAGCCAATAATGGTCTTGCAACCTGCCGATCTTTACATGAGATCGCTACCTTGATGACATGCTTACAGAGATTTCCCAGCCTTGACGAAGGGCAATCACAGAATGAGAATTCCGAACCAGGGTTCCAGATAGTGTATGCCAGGCTTCTGTCTGTTTGTGAGATGACCTTTGCATACTGAAGATTTTGCTCATCTAGTATGACATCAACATCTAGGATCTGCAATGCCTGATACCAAGCATTCGTTGAAAAAGACTTGTCCCTCAAATTTTCAAAATACCCAGTCTCCATGCTATATTGGTCTAACCAATACGAAGAGTGAAATTCAGTTGTGAGTGTGTGTATCAACCAGTCGACTCTCAACCAGGAATTCGCATATTGTTCATTGAAAAGCTTGGATTTCAACCTCGCATGATAGGACTCAATTGCAGCATTTGGCTCTGGACTGGCCACAGGAAGAGACCTTATGCAATTCACCCACAACTCTGGACAGCAAGGGCATATACAAATTCAATGTTTGGGATAACAACATGATAGCTTAAAATATTCGAAAGGGCCATTGTAATGGTTATTGGTCACAATATCTATCACATCAATTTCATTTTGTGACCTTATCACATTTCAGTATTCATGTGACCACACAGTTTATACTTCGCGTGTCAACTACCTAACAGGCCACAATACCGTCCTCTCACTGGGTTTGAAACCAGCCGTGTAAAATGCAAAGCATAAAAAATTATATCAAACAGAGTTGAAACACAAAACCCAGCAGTCTCAGGCAGCATTGGCCGTTTGACAGAAAACACGTACTTGGGCCTCACTCCTGAGTAAGAGCAAAGATGTTTTCTTTTATGCATAAAGATCAGGCACAGAAAGGAAAATACCTAAATTTGGTAACCATCGCCTCTTAAAATAATCCATAAAGGCACATTGATCAACAAATACTTGCATAAACTCCTCAACTGCATCCATAGCATTCGACCCACTCCTTGTGCTATACAAAAGCCAGCCTAACTGCTTAAATACCTCTCGCTGCACATCAAAGTTGCAGCATGTCTTTAAAATCCGTCTTATCCAAGAATGCCGAGCATGCCAGTTACATAATAAGACCCGGCATTGGAAAGCCTCCCTGGAATAAAGAAAATAATCCCAGTGTAAATTCAGTTCAGTGTAAAAACAAACTCTATGAGAAACCTGCAAAGCAACTCCCCCCTCCCAAAACTAATGATATTACCTTAATATAGAAATCTCAAAGGAAGGATCATCCACTAAAAAGGAATCAGGTCTCCATCCTGGGTCCTTCGTTCGGACTCTTTCAGCCAGTGGCCCAATCCACTTGTGGATATCTTGACTGATGAAAGAGGAGGTAATGATCCAAGCAACTGGTATGGCATTCCGAGATGGGTTGAAAACAAGTAATGTACACAACGGATACTGTTAAGAGGGGCCAAAAATCACAATAAGGATATGACATCTAATAGCAGGGGTAAAAAATCAGGTATTATGTCATCAATTATATGCATGACAGCTAACAACATGAAAGAAAAGGATCACAGCAAGTAACTATAAATCAAGATACCTTAAGTTTTTTTAAACCAAATGTTGAATGGACAGCTATGTAATTATTATGTCCATACTGGAGCATCTGTTGCAGCTGCCAATCTGTCTGTATCCCTAAAACAAATGGCTCTGAAACAGAGCTATCTTGAAAGTAGAAAACATGCTTGCGATGGCGTTGAACCCACATCTTTATACTGCATCCATCATTTGGATGTAACTGAGGAGAAGAATTACGAATCCCCCTTTCCATGTTTCGAACATCGTTGCGACTTAGAAAATCATCACGGTTATGAGGTCCACCATGCCCCTCGACCAGCTCCATGTGATGCTGAATTATATTGTCCAAAGGAATTCCAACATAAAGCATAGACATCACTTTCTGGCGTTGCTCCTCTGATATTCGTGGAGCATACATGGCTCTCGTTCCCATAGCATCCTGATCAAGTATACCATGGCATGGAGATCCTGACTTATCTACATGATTTCTCTGGTTATAGATGATGAGAGCAAGGAGTGGCCGGGTATATAACCGCTTTACAGTGAAATGGCATAGGCAGCCTCTCATCATGTGACGCCTTCCAGGCCTGCTTCCCTTTCCGGATGCGGGCTTTGTACTAGAACCATCCATCAGACCAGATTCATTCTCTCGGTAGTCTTCAGGACCATATGAACACCAGTATCTGATGAATCACCATATACAAAATTACGTGTCTTAGGTTTATGTTGATGATCATTTAATGCTTTTAATTTAATGGTATACGGTTGCAGCTACCTATGTTTGCAGTGGATTCAATAGTTAACGTTCCTGATTATTGCACTCAAAAAAAAAAAAGTTCCTGAATATCAATTTTCTGAAAGTTATAACTAATGATTTTAAATTTGAAATGAATTCTTAATTTTGCAAGTGTTGTACAAGCTGTTCGCAACTAGGCAGATATTAGTGCAGCAAATCAAGCGGCCATTTTCAACACGGTTAAAGGAATAATGAACTCCAACACACAAGACAACAGAAACAACATACAGTGTATATTCAAGATAACCGTCAACCCTTGGCTTGCTGATGCTCCCCTCAGGTCTCTTCCTTCTTGACTCGACGCGGAAGCTGGCAGGGCATTCAGCATTTGAAGATTCTCCTTTTACAAAATCACCCACCCTAGCAAATGGGATTAGGGCAATATCATCGCCGCCTTGGCGACCGCCTTCCACTTTCACCCACTTAATATGAGTAGCAGAAAACTCGGCACACGGAGGATCTTGTACCGGAAGGTTTAGAATGTCCTCCATTCTTGCCATCTGTGTAATAAAATGAAAACCCAAGTCATAATTCTTCTAATTTTAATATCTTATGCAGCACAAAATTCAACCTAAGAGTTTTAAATAACTGGTCTGTGTTGGTTTCCAAATTCCAATATTCCCAATCTCATATGCTGCCTCTTTACTCAATCTAAACATGCAAAACAGCAAAGCTAAGAAATTTAAAAGCTACTTGAGATTACCATCTAAAAGTGCTTCTAATTGAAGCCAAAAGCACAAAAGAACTTCAAAGACTGAAAAAGTAAAATCTGTTCAACAAAAATTTACCTTGTGTTCATGGCCCTTCATGCTTCTCCAACTAGCTCAAAAAATGTAAATTCTGAAACTTTTACTCTGCAAGTAATAATTTTCAAAGTTTAAACTTTACTCAAAACGAAAAGAAGCAAATTGGGCAGCTTTAGAAAGAGGAAGACCAGAGAGCAGCAGGTAAAATGCAAAAAAGTTACAGCTTACAGAAGTGAAAAATCCGGGAGGGGAATAAAAGCAATTGAATCTAAATTAAAAGTAGTAAATATGAAGAGGGTAATTTACCTCTAGGGTCTGCATTCGAATGGGAAGCCATGGGAGGAGAGTGATTCAAGGTCTTCCATGTTTTTCAGCGGAGTGGAGCTTTCGCTTTCTGGGATCAATTATCAGAGATCAGGCAAAGCTGTTAATTTACCAGAATGACCTCGGTTTTCCCACCTCTATTTCCTTAGCTTATTGGGCTAGCAATTTGGGTCCAGCCCAAGGAAACACGTTGGCCCATAAGATTCGTAGACTATCCAAGTCCGAAATGTTAGTGCCATTTTGGAAAATGCCGGGGAAGCTCACGTCATGGTTAGGGATGGGCAACGGTTATGGCGGGTGGGTAACTGCAGTTATTTACCTATAACCGTTTATGTTCATACCCGCATAACCGTTTATAAACGGTTAACCATACCCATAACCGCATACCTATTTAACCGTAACCGTTTAATACCCGTTTACCCATTTACCCTTTTTAACCCGTTTATCTTTTTCTTTTCTTTTTTACCATTTACTCATTTTTCACCCGTCTACATGTTTTTTAACAACTTAAAAACTAAAAAAAAATTGTCATAGTTTTCTTTTTTTT